CTTTAGAGCAGGAATTCAAAGATGGGATCCCCCTCAATCTCTCTGGGATCCCATCTCCAAAACCCGCAATATATATATATATATATATATATATAGAGATATAGAGTGTACCAGCACCTCAAGGTGAGCTGGCAGATGATGGCGAGCTCGCAGGGCATGTGATCTCCATGATGGGCTGCTTGGCTAAACTGCTACTGAGAGGGCCAGTGTGAAGGGTGTAAAAAATGACAAGTAGGACATCGGCCCAGGGCCCACCAAGCTGTTGTGGTCACTATACGCTGAGGGCTAAATCCAGCTGATTAATTTTGCGGAAGCTTCGTGCCGAATTCTGCAGTAAGGTAGCTGTCTTGAGCCAAGTCCTTGAAACCTGAAGCCCGTCTTGAACTGGCCTTGAGCTTCGTGCGTTCAGACCGCCATGCCATACTTTTCAGTGCTGGAATTGCTCCAGCACCTTAAGTTTGGCGTTCAGAGCTCGGAGCACCAACTCTGAGGCACTGGCCCAAGACAAATCCCAAAACTCCTGCATCTTCTTCAGCGCCGCACACATCTGAGTTCAGTTCACTCACGGCAATCCCAACTAGGCTTTAGACCCTTGCCTCTAACCCCTGAAACCCCCAAACTTTCAAGCCCTGAACGAAACCCACGGCCCACAACCCCCGAATGCCCAAGGGCGTGGTCTGCAATGCGTACAGATGATGGACCACTTTATCGGGCCTGCCAGCGACTGGATGCAGATGATACAGGGATCTGGGCTTTTAGGGTATGCTATTTTCTCTAAGCGAACAGGTTCCGAAGAAGGTAAGTTAGGAAATAGTTCAGACCCCGGAAGTACTCGTAGGAGCTCTAAGCCAGAAGATTGGAGCGTCGACGGCGGCCTGCCTGGCCGGTCCCGGGCTTTCATACTTGGAGCCCTAGGCTTCCCTTAAGGGTATTGGATTTAGAGTTTAGGGTTTTATGGCTTGGGGTTTATAAGGGTTTAGGGTGTCATGGTTTTGGATTTCGAGCTTAGGGTTTTGGGTTTAGGGTTAAGGTTTGGAGGCTTTGGGCCTTGAAGGGCTTCGCAAGCTCCGCCTCGAAGGAATCCAAGTTCATAGCTCCCGAACACCCACCCAGACCAGAGAGCTTCAACCTCAGCACTCCCCCCTGAGCAGCTTGATCATCCCAACCAAGGCCAAAACAAGCTTCAGGTTCAGGCTGACAAGCTTTGCAGGCGTACTCAGCTAATCTTGCGCTGTGATGTGCTGAAAACATGCGTCCTCCGAGACATACGGCAAAGCTTTACGAAGACCTGTCTCAATACCCTGTGAGGCATTAATAAAATCACGACCCGAAAGTAGAACCCTAGGTGGCTGGATTGTCATCCTTTTTTGGCACTCTGCATAAGGCAGCATCGAGTCCCGAAGTCGTGTGGGTCCTCGTTATAAGGGCACCGACTACGGTAGCCTGGAACCCGATTATCATACGGCCTCCTACATCAAGAACCCTAACTAGTAGGATCTCTATCTTGAGGCACCCTTGAATATGGCAATATACACCTCCAAGTAGTAGGGTCCTCAGTATGGGGCCTTAAAGAAGGTAATATAGCACCATATGACCTGAAGTATGTTAAGCAGCCATCTTTCGTGCCGAGGCTTTGGGCGTCCGCCGGTACCGGACTCACGCCATGGACCAAGATCGGGGTGATGGATCGTGCAAGGGTGTAGGGCTTTTATATAGATAGGTAGATATATATTTATATACATATAATGTTTATAGGGTTTCATCTGGTTTACAGTTGTTTTGACGGGTAGAAAGGGCTTATGGGGATTGTGTAGGGGTTCTGGGGCTTGTAGGGCTTACAGTAGTTCAGAGTGTCTTGGGTTTATAAGGTTTGGGCAGGGCGGTGTGTTATTCCTGGGCGTTGGCAAGGTGGCCTGTTCCAAGCTGATGTTGCTTATTGTTGGTACAGGGCATCATTCACCGAATGAGCCCTTGCCGCGTGGGGGCTCGGGCTCCCGTGGCAGATGGAAAATAGAATGAAACCCGCAGATATGAAAGTGAATGTTAACTAGTCATGGTGGACATACGCCATACATAAATAAGCCGAGGAGCTTGTGAAGGCCTACAATCCCCCATTTGTAATTGTGTGTGCGTGTTTCAAACGAGCCCATTTGCGCTTTCCCAGTTCCGCCGCCGCCGCCATCCAGCGCACCACCGTCAAGGCCGAGTGGGCCGCCATTGGGTGCTCCACCTCCAGCTCCCAGCAGCTGAGGGCGATGTTGGAATCGCGGTGAGGGGTCTAGAGATGCAGGGCCATCGTATTCAACCTATGCAGAACCTCAGGCATTCTTAAACTTTCCTTTATTTGTAGATCCGCCCAGAGTCTTCAACCACGTCGAGTTTCAACCCAGTTTTTGTTGGCTTCAAGCTGCGTAGGGTTCAGGGATCAGACTACGCAAGGTTTCGAGAGCGTCGGGTTCACCTTTGGCGCATGTCAGCTGAACCCTCTTCTCTAACCTTGTCTCCTTCAGAAGTTGGCAGCTCAAAAAGCATGTTGTGGGGTTATGTGCCGCAGATTCCAGAAGACCCGCTCGATGACCGTCACGACGTCTAAGAGTTCGTGCGTTTATGTTTTTGTTTTGTTTGGAGCATCACAAAGGATGTTCCACTCCCATCCTGCGCAAGTGGTGCCTGGACAGGGGGCAAAGAAGTCCTCAACCTCAGACCCCCCCAAGCTTTGTTATCTGCATGTAGAATATATGTAAAGCCCCGAGTTCCCATGCTACACATGCTACATGACTTTTCGGATTCCCCGCACCCCCGCAAAAGTCCCGATTTCCCATGCTACACGCGCTACTCGAAATGTAGCATGTGCAGCATCAACAGAAACGGCATCCAGAGTAACAGGACTAGGGCACACACACAGCATATGTATGTACGTCCCTTTGTCTTAAATATAAATGTACAAGTTTTCTGGTAGCATGCAGCATAGTCGAGCGGAATGCTGATTTTCGTCGAGAACCTCTTCCCCCCCTCCCATCGAAGTGTATTGTGCTTATTTCACACAACACTTTTGCCGTCTTCCGTGGATTTGGGGCTTGGCGGATTTGGACTCCCTGACTTTGTAAATACCCATGGAAGACATCCAATTGAGTCGATAGACACCCAAACTGCCCAGAATAATGCATGTGTGTCTTGTCGGTGGTTTTGAAGGGAGCCATCCTCGGGACATCAGGGTTTGGGCGACGGTACTTTTTTCCAACTTTCTACCTTTGACATGGAATCCTCCCTGTCGGGCATCCTTTCTTGCGTGACTTTACTACTAGCGGCTCGGGCACGTCATCGCCGGCTGCAGCTATATGTAGGAGCAAAGGGGGTGGCGCAGAAATTATAGAGCCTGTTTACCTACAGAGAAGGACAACTTGTTGAAGACCTTGATTAATCCTGAACTCTGAAAGCATCTAATGTCAGACTGTTTTAGTGCTTTGGTGTTTTTGGGTTTACGGTAAGATTTTCTGGTTCATTGGATTTAGGCAGTTGAAGGCTTTGGGTTTGCGGTTTCTGTATGAGTTGCACGCTTGGCCAAAATCCGTTCTGACTACAGGTCTAAGAAACACAGCCCCTGAACGGTTTATAGTTCAGATGTAAGACCGATCTGTTCAGGGTTTAGGGTAAATCTTAAGCAGATCGTGTTTTCCAGGGCCCGGCTGCTAGCATAACTAGGCAGAATTCCAGCTTTGATGGATACTGTGCGTAAGATCGACTCCCTGACCATGCTGATTGGCATGCTCTCTTATGTTGCTTACACCGTTGGCATCCCGAAATCAAGTTTGCTCCCCCACTGCTCTCACTGCCTTGCGGCCGACGCTCCTTTCAGAGTAAGTCCACCTCCATGCGTGGCGGGGGCCCTGACGTGACACGACTCAGTCAGACTCTCGCCAACACCTTTGGTGCATGGGGTGAGCGAAACAGCCCTAAGCCTGCACGCCTAAGTGCAACGCCACAGCAAGCCCATCCGACCCTGTGAGCCCTCAGAACTGAAGGTCACGGGCAACAAGCGCGAGATCGGAAACCTTACGTCCGAGACCTGTTTCCCACAACAGACATGACAAGGGCACCTAGAACACTGAGGCTCAGAAAAATCAGCTCGAGTGTCGCTAATGATCCTCGCAAGTGTATAGCTGAGAACGGTGGCGCTCTCTTCAGCAGCAACCCTAGCTCTTTCGAGCAGTCTCCCGATGCATGCTGATGTAAGCTCAAGTCTTAAAGACCCGAAGCTCTGAACACTTCCGGCTCTGCCTGTTGCCCCATACCGTGAATGCACCTGGGGTGTTGGCGGACCTGCCATGCTCAGAGGATGCTTTGACGAAAGCTGCGAAGGAAGCGGCGAGAAAATATGCAACTTCTCAGTGCTACATTGTGGGGCTCATAACGTTGTGGTTCATGGCTTAGGCAAAACAATGTGGGAGTGCCGACAACACCGGAGGGATTCCACAGTTCGATGCAGCTGAAGAGAATCAATACTTCGAAAGCAAACCCCTGAATCCTAAGTCAATCCCCAAGCCCATAGGGATTTTTTAATCACAAGCTCGAAACTCGGTTCCTTCTTCAAAGCAATCCTAAACCCACGCCCAGATTGACCTTAGTTCAGCAGCGACTGAGGGCCAATATTCGACGAGCCGTTACGAGCATAGTTGGCATAGTTACCTTTTCAGACTACCACTCTATGTTTTCTCTTTCTATGACCGTGTTTCGTGGACCCGTCGTCTCGGTCACCTTGAGCATCCTGGCATCTTCGCTGCAGTCTCTTATTCTTGTCCTAGAGGGAACCGTTAACATCATCAACAAGTACACTATTGCTTGCTGGGGTGCAGAAGGATGAAACCCCTGAGCCCGACAAGGCAGGAAGCCCTCCAGAGACCTTAGCCGCAGCCCTTTGCATCCCGAAGCCCAGGCTTGAACACTGCCTGCCAACGGCAAACTCCAAGACCCCAGGACCTACCCTCAACCCCACACCGAAGGTGCCGAAAATGGTACCCATCCACCACCGCATGCGAATGGGCACGCGCAAAGCCAAAGGAGGCGGCAACCTGTCATTCGTGGTTCGCAGAATCGCTACCTTTGTAAATCCGTCACTCCCAACCTAAACCTGTAAGCCATTGCTCTGGATTGCGGGGAGGCATTAGTTTTGGAGTATGTCGAGGTGCAAGAGTCTTGGATTTGTGTTTGAGGGGGGTGTGTTCGGGCTGAGCCTCTGAATTTCTTGTGGTTCTGACAGGCGCTTGAACAGGGAAAGATGTGTTGAAAGACCTCAGCCCTAAACCCCCAAACCTGGAATTCTTGAAGCCTCAGCCTAAGCTGCATTCCAACCCCCTTTGAACCAACAAGCTCCTCAAGCAACCGGGCTCCGTTCCAGGTGAGGCTTCCAAGAGCGCCGAGAAGCCAGCTGAAGCCTCAGCAGAGAACGAGCATCGAGTCGAGGAGTAGATGTTATGGTATGTATGAGAGGGAGAGAGGTGCACCATGGTACGTACCTACCTACTTATCAAGATCCACCCGTCCATCCATCCATCCATCCATCCATCCATCCATCCATCCATCCATCCATCCATCCATCCATCTATCCATCCATCCATCCATCCATCCATCCATCCATCCATCCAACTTGTGTGTGTGGGTGTGTGTTTCGTGACGTTTCATCCGCGCATCGTGTGTTGAATTTTGGGACAAGCTTTTGTGCCCCAGGTTATTTGTGAGCTTTGTCGTCCGATCCAACCAACCCTTCGCGACTCTATAACTTCTTTGCTGGATGTACGTGACATCCGCAGTTTCTCGACGGCTCCGCAGGCCGACGAAAACTCCAAGGCCCAGCAAACCCTAAACAAGGGAGGATCACCGAACCCCTTCCACTGCCAACCTGTATACCCTCAACTCGAAACCCTTCACATGACGTCCCGAAGACATGATCTGAGCCGTTCCGGAGGCGGAAATCGCAGACACTCCCAGCGCTGAGACGGTTGGGAACCCACACACATTTCGGCATTTGCGGTCCTAGCGTTCCGGTTTCAAATTTTGTGGGGTGTACCTCGCAGGTTCTGGGGTCTCAGGGCCGGCCTTGGGCGTACGACACAGCTCTGAGGTTCTGAAGACTTCAGCCGGTTGTGTATCCCAAGGGTTCCGGCTCCCAAAATTATAGGGTAGATAATGTATGGTTGGTAACCTACTACTTAGGTAACTGGAGCCCTAGGGTATGATGTTCACATGGTCCTAGAAGGTCTGCTTCGGTTGGGCTTGTTGAAGCGTAGCTTTCATCATCTTGGCCGTTTAGGAAACGTAAACCGAGGTTGCTCCGATTGAGTGGTACTCGGGTTTAGGGTTTAGGGTTTAGGGTTTCTGGTAATTAGCTTTATGGCGTTTTGAGGGAGTTCGGTTGTCTTTGGTCTCGCGATGGTAGTTTTGTATTGATTGTCATCATCGCCACTGCAGTGTTTTGCCTAGGGCTCCGCATGGCTCCATGTTTCGGGGTCTTCTGCTTGGCATGATCTGTACGAGCTCCAGCGACAGGTGGGCTGAACTAGTGAATATGCAACTTAATTAGCTACGGTACCCTGTGTCCGAACTCTGTTTCCCTCTCCGATTTTCGCGTTTGCTAGTGGCATGATCTACCACATAAGTCTCAAGGTTTCGGGATCAGGCTTGATGACTTCATGTTTCGGGATGATTCAGAGTTGTGCTACATTTCGGGTTTACGCATGCAGGTCTTCAGGCTTCCTTGGATGTGCTTAGCGTTGGGGACGTGGGCCGTGGGCGCGCAAACTTGCCTTGGGACGCAAGTTCCCAGAGACTCCGGCCAAAACCCCTTAGATCAACATACCTTAAATTATAATAGGATCCCTAATATGATTTAAGCTATATTCCTTAATTAAGGGGTATTGGAGTCTCTGGGTTGTTCTAGTCTGGCCTTGCATTGGTGATGAAAACATGCCTCGGCATCTGCCAACCTCACCTCATTGTACAAACATGGAATCCTAAAACCTATAAACCTCCGATCCTAAGATAGCGTCGTCCGCCGAGCTGATCCAAAGCCCTCCCCCACAATCGAATTACGACTAAAAAGTATAGATGTAAGATCCCAGTCAAGGTTCGCGACTTATAGGGCTGTGGGGCTCTACACTGCTAAAGCGCTAAGCCATCTCCACTGCTCACTCACTCTCCCTGTGATCCCTCCCCTCCTACGATTTCCATTGCTCGCTCGCTGGATCTTTTTTTGGATAGTTCGCTCGCTGTCTCTCGCTCGCTCGCTCGCTTCCTCCATTTATGTATGTATGATATGTATGTGTACGCATTTACATGCATCAACACGCCATACAGGCAAAGTGTCAGAGCCAGCCGCACAGGCAGCGCCCGCGGAGCCTGAAATGAAGCGCAGACGCGGCAAGGCCAGCAAGAAGGGTTTGCGTTTTCGGTGCTTCTATACCTGCGCGATTTACAGCGACATGCAGAACAAAACATGCCGACAATAGTGACGACTTGCAGAAAAGCCGGTTCAGAGAAGAGGTGATGATGTAAGTGAGTATAATACAGCAATGGTGATGGTGATGGTGATGGTGACGATGATGATGATGATGATGATGATGAGAATGATGACAGCGACGCTCCTAGGCATCTTCATCCTGAAGGGAAGCAAGTCCACATGACAGCAATCATTAGAACATGTTTGTAAACAAACTCCTCTTGCTGATCATCACCTCAAAGGTAGACATCAACACCACCCAATCTCAGAATGGTTAACTTCGTTGTCTGACCGCCACCACCACCACCACCACCACCACCACCACCACCACCACCACCACCACCACCACCACCACCACCGCGTCCACCGCCACCGCCAACACCAGCAGCAGCAGCAACAGCAACAGCAACAGCACCATCAGCATCATCATCATCATCATCATCATCATCATCATCACCATCACCGTCATCATCATCAGCATCATCATCATCGTCTTCTCTTGCTCACAAATGTCATGGTCATGACTCTGGCCTTGACCTCGAAAAATGAGTGTTTCCTGTTGTGGCTGTGGACGGTGGTGATACCGTGAGACTGATGGCGGCAACGGCGATGACCACCGCAAGACATGATGACTAAGACTACGAAACGATGCTGTCGATGATGACAATGTTAGTGGTGATGGTTGCGCAATGTGCGCGGTTGTACTGGCGAAGACATGACAAGGCTTGCTGCTGATGTCTCGTTGCATCGTTCACCTTGAAGCTTAGTAGGTGTTGCCGGTACTTCTGCTACAGCCCCAGCTGCTTTTCCAGTGGTTGCTGCACCGGTGGTGTTCTGCTGCATTTCGGATCGGTCGTGTCGGTTTGGGTCTATGTTTGGGATGAGGGCCCCAGGCTGATCGGGTTGAGATCACACGGGGCCTGAACTTCGGGGCTTCCGTCGTAATCGGTGTTGGTGCTTTCACCAAATCACCAGCCTCATCTGTTGCGGCAGGCTTCAGCGGTTTACAGATAGGATCATTCTTCTCTACATGGGTTAAAGAACACCTCAATCGCCAGATGACTCAAGCCCCAGGCACCGCCTGGCGATGCACCTCGGCTTCCGCTGCAGGAGTGTCGACAGGACCAGACCAGTGAGCGGGTTAAGGGTTTAGGGTTTAGGGTTTGGGGTTTAGCTCCTTAAGATTCGCGTTCTTGACATAAACAGCATTCTGGATCACTGTAATTTTGTCCCTCACCAGCACCAGGATGGCAAAGCGCAGCCGACGAATCGGGCTGCCCGGAAGGGCGCTTGAAGAGTTCTGAATCAGGGCCTGTTCCTCTGCCGCAAGGGCTAAGGTTTAGGGCCTAGGTTTAAGGTTGGGGGAGTTCTGTGCATTCTGTGCCTAAGATGTCCATCATAAGGATCGGGGCTTGGGTGTCAGGACTTCTGTATCGTCCACAGAAGCGAGAATGCAAGATAGAGCCAGGGGTAGTTTGGGGGGTCTGGGTGGTGTCCCATTTCTGTTACGACGACAGCACTCAGGTTCAGGATCTAGTCTTGCAAGCTTTGGGTTGCTACGACGTTACTGCGCCGAGTGGAAATCCAAGGTGGCTAGGCTTCGGTTTGAGCTCTGAGATTGTGGGCGCCGGCATTCAGCAGCATCTTCAAGCGTGGACATCGCCACAGTCAATAAGATAGTATAATATATATATATATATATATATATATATTTTTTTTTTTTAATATACGATACTTTAAGATGATATAACAAACCATAGCGTAATATAGTAAACTATACTCGACCCTAAACCCAAATGGCAGCTCCAAGCCACAGGAAAGTCCCATGGGATGGGCTCCAAAACTCCACCTAAACAAGCTGCCGGCCGCACATCCTAAACCGTAAAAAACACCAGACCTGCTCAAAAAAACCTATACCGTTTCACCTTTTCTACCCTAAACCCAAAGCCCCTGAACCCCTAAACCTGAAACCCTAAACCCCTAAACCCTAAACCCCGAAACCCCTGACCCCTAAACCCCTAAACGCCTAAACACTGAACTCTGAACCCCTGAACCCTAAACCCTAATCCCTGAACCCTAAACCCTAAACCCTGGACCCTGAACCCCTGAATCCTAAACCCTAAACCCTGAACCTTAAACTCTGAACCCTAAACCCTGAACCCTGATCTATG